GATTATTTAAAGGTGGGTTATGATATGCAATATGTAATGTGCATTTATTTGAGGAAAATCAGTACATAGTAATAGTATGTGAAAAATACTGAAACCTTCTGTTGAAATGTCCTATGCTTTCTAACCACAGTGTCAAGCGAAAGGACAAAACCCAAATCAATCCAAAATTATAACCCTTTATATCTCACTCTTTGATTGCCAGACACATATGAAATTGTTACAAGGGCTGAAAATTGGCAAAATAGTGTGACATATTGGAATCACTATTAGAATTATCGCTTACATGAAAGGAACTTGACGACTGTGGTACTGGTGTTGCAAATGATTCATGTGAATGGTATGTGTTTGTTACAATTTTAGAATAGGCAGACAAATTCCCATTCTCTGCTTCAAAAAGCACATCATTTATCAGTTTCCTAGCACAGCCTGCTGTTTTCTTGTCCAGGGAGTCGAGTGCTTGGCCTACGTACTTCCCAAATGTCTCATTAGGAGTATCATGTCTCTCAGATCTCTCTTCTAAGTTACGAGCGACCAGGTTTAGAATGTGATCTGCCTTCGTAGTGTTTCCCCTGCTCCGTTTCACTACAGGAGCATTGCTGCATGAAGGTATTTCATCATCAGCTGGTGGCTCAGCACACTCTAGAAAGGAGAACACCTATAAATATAGTGCAAGTCTCTCTCTCTCCTCTCTCTCTCTCTCTCTCTCTCTAATAGCCTTGTATCTTTTATCTGTTTCAGTTTCCGGCAACAGAAAAGGAGTGGAAGACTGTTGGAGAACAGTTCGAGTTTAGATGGAATTTTCCCCACTGTCTCGGTGCTGTTGATGGAAAGCATGTATGGATAACGCCGCCATCAGAATCAGGGTCTTATTATTGGAATTACAAAGGATACAACAGTCTTGTGTTAATGGCAGTTGTAAATGCGAACTACGAATTCATTATGGCAGACATTGGAACTAATGGTCGCGTATCAGATGGAGGAGTCATTGATAATACAGAATTTGGTAAGCGACTCAAAGATGAAAAGCTCTGCATCCCACATGAGTCAGTAACAGCTACTTCAAATTGTGTTTTGCCATATGTATTCGTGGGAGATGAGGCCTTTGCATTAAGGACAGATTTCTTGAAACCTTATTCTCAAAAGGACCTACATAGTGAGACGCGAGTATTCAACTACAGGCTGTCAAGGGGCACGGAGAGTGGCAAGAAAATGCCTTCGGCATTATGGCTTCCAGGTTTAGAATTTTCCACTTTGTATAAAATCTCAAATTGACAAGTATTGACAAAGTTGTCATGGCATGTGTTGTGCTACATAACTATTTGCGGAAAGCATGCCCTTCAGACTATTCCCCAGAGGACTGCTTCCATAGGGAGGATAGAATGTGCAAAATGATTTTGCCAGGCTTAACTGCAGATCTTATGTAGCAGGTTGCAACACGGTCAGGGATCACGAAACTATCCTGAAATTGCAAAGGTAGTAAGAGATAGATTTAAGGATTACTTTGTGAATGCCGGTGCAGTAGCATGGCAAAAAGACTTCATATAAATCATGAAAATAGGAAAGGCTAGTCTACACCTTCAAACTCAAACTATACAGTCTGATTGGAATTGGCTTAAATAGTGTGCTGTAATAATTTTTTTTTTTCAAAATAAATGAATACAATGGTTATGATAAGTTTAATTGATTCATTATTCAAATGGCTGGCTCAAGTTTAGCCTTCAGATCCAGATTGACATGTTGGATTCTTAATGAAATGATGATTCATAATACAAAATTGTCTGAAACTTCAGACTAATATACCAGAGAAGTCAGGAGATACATTTTACAACCTACAGATTATATGAAAGCACCCATGAAACTGAATAAAGTCATCTATGCATAGCCAATAAAAAAACGAATAAATAAACGGCCACTCTGGTTCTGAAGGTTACTTGTTATCCAGTTTTGGGCAAATCCTTGCAACTCACCTCTTCATTAACACATTCCATATTTGATGTACTCTCTCGTGGCATCTCTTGATCACATATGAACATCATGTCTTCAAAATACCAGAGAGTGGGCGTGTAGATGTTATCAGTTGCACTTCCAGACTTTTTAGAGCTCTCATGCTTTCGAAGTTCTCTTCTAAACGAACTACGGAGAGAATTTATTTTTTTCATCACATCATCCCGCGTACAATGTGGGTCAAGTTCTTGTAGCTTTCCATGCAGTTCATCTATACCCTTATTTCTTAAATTCCTGTTTGAGTATTCTTTTGATTTCACCTTCCACAAAGCCACATGCTTCCTGTATATATCAATGAAACCCACCATTACTTCCCTTTCCTTATCCTTAAGGGCACACGTGTCACTAATTTTGCAGCTGATACACTACGCCTGTCACTGAAGGAGATGTTTACAGATGTTACCTCGGCGAGATTTGAGTATGTATGACGGTTGAAGGCTGATGACCGTTCACACGTTCAAACATGGACATGCACCGAGCAAGCTCCGCCCACAAAAGTCAGGCCCCGTCAGACATCCGTCCAACACGTTGGTCAAACATGTTTACCCCTTTCACACGTTCAAACATTCTCTCAAACGTCGTGTTGTCAAGCGTGTTGGCCAACATGTTTGACCGTGTAAAACCCTCTTTATTTTGCAAGTTTAAAAATAATTTCATTCATGTCCTAGGAAAAAGGGGGAGATCTAATAGCCTTGTGTGCTTAAAAATGAGAACATAATTACTATACAAATTTATACTTTATCAATGTTAATGTAATTATATCCAACTTTGATATCATCAAATAAGAATATATTACAAAGTTTTTTCCAGTAACTTAATTGTTATGTATTAACATGCACTAAATGATATATGCTATTAACACTATAAGTTCCTATGTATAAATTGACTAACAATTATTATGTTTGTGATACCCGTGCAACGATGTGCAATCCGTTTTCTATGACCGGTCAAATGTATGCCCTAGCGGCGATGTATGTAACCCCTCAAGGCTTAGCAACAATTAAGAGTAGACATAGAAGAGACTCTTTCTAGAAACCCTACAATAAACAGGTTTATCCAAGACTTCGTGATCCCTACTTTGGCGAACGAGGATGGGAGATAACGAAGCGCATATCTTATGATTTCAGGTGAGATATGAACTGATGTTATACTGTTTGGGAGATAGATGAGAACATCCCCAACATTAATGAATGTAAAAAGTATAATCTGAGTAGCAGAATTATGGAAATGGCATGAATCCACCACATCTAATAATCCGAACGAGCCAAAGAATAACAAGTCCAGTGATACTGTACGAGTAAACACCGGGCTTCCAAACTAAATATATTAAAGGTAAAAGCTTATGGTTCCCATATTCACTAAAAATCAATACAGTCCTGTACACAAACAGAAATTGTAATTGATTTCTCTTGGTCTGACACAAAAAGTATATTGGCATAATTAGTATTACAGGACATTCATGGAATGGCAGCACACGCACATGCACACACACACACACACACAACAGGTAATGATAGTGTATGCTGAATATCACTGTTCTTTTGTTGGAATGGGAAATATCATATGAAAATATTCGTCACCCTTACTACTTACATAATTGTCTTTTGCTAAGAGAATAATTCAAAAAAATACAATAGAATATCCCTAGTTATAGTAACAAATTACATTAGTGAAAATATACCTATATTCCTTTACTTCAATGGAAATGAACAGGATGAAAATTGCAGGATGAAAATTTATTTCCAAAATTCGTAATAGTTATGGAAACACAATACATATAAAAAAAAAATGCATGCATATAATAAAGGCATAAAACAGATCTATATAAAAAATGTCTGAAGTATAGAATAAATCACATCTAGGTAAAGTAAATACCACCTGGTCTATTTTAAAATATTGGCTAAGAACTCATCTTCATATAGTTGATATAAGTTTGTTGAAAAGCATGGATAACTGAATTCCAATCCATTCAAACGCTAAATTTCTTACCAATTAGGCAAAATGCTGGTAAATGATTGAAGGATAAAAGAAATAGCAAATATCACGAAAATATGAAAAATAGTGATATTTTCTTACAGCTCTGTAGGCATGGCAGTCCAGAAACAACAAACTTCATAAAAATGTATCCTAATTTTGTAGTTATGAGGTTTATCCCTTCAAACCTGACTTTATGATTAAATGTAGAAAAGGTATAAATGAGAATGGATATCTTCACAATACAATTCATTCTTGTTCATACCTTATTCTACACTTGCCAGATTGAAAACAAATCAACCTATGATGCAGATGAGTCAGTGCATTATGAATATTACTTCATATTATTCTGTGCATTATGAATATCCAAGACTTAAAATCAAAATTGCCATTAAGTGTTTAATATAAAGGCATAAAAAGGTAAAGAAAACTTCTGACCTCTACATCTCAAAACATCTCACTGCTTCTCCTGCATCATCTTTTAACAAATTTCAATGAAAATTCACTTCTACTAATATACTAGACTAATCTGCTAGATTCTAAGATTCTTAGTTTTTTTCAAATATCTCAAAGGCATTTGATTGCTTTTCAAGGGGGGGGGGGTGAAAGGGGTGAAAAATGAGTCAGACTAATTTTTTCTGAGCTATAACTGATGTATTCAGTGTCTCTAATGTGTTAAGCATGCACAACCTTGCCTGTGTCTATGCATGAGAGAGAGAGAGAGAGAGAGAGAGAGAGAGAGAGAGAGAGAGAGAGAGAGAGAGAGAGAGAGAGAGAGAGAGAGAGAGAGAGAGAGAGAGAGAGAGTGAGAGTGAGAGTGAGAGTGAGAGTGAAGGGGGGGTGGGGGTAGGTGTGTATGGAAGGAGGCAAGACTAACTGTGAGCATGAGTGATCATGTGGGAGTGTGTGTGCATGTTTGTATTTATTTGCAAGTGTACGTGGATGTGGATGGATGCACATGCTTGCATATAAAATTTCTAATCAAATACGAATAATTACCAAAACCAAAACTTCCTACATACCTCATCACGAGAGGCCCTTCCACGACCATGCAGTCCCTCAGGCTGGCTTTCTTTACGTTCTTTGCGTTTCTGGCCCCGTTTCTGGTGCTTTCCTGAGCCATGCTGGTTTCTTGTGTGAGTCTCCAAATCACTAATTGTCACAAACACTTCCCCACAAACTCTTACATTCAAGTGTTAATAATGGGTCTTCACAATTTTCATATGTGTATGAATTATCTTTCAACATCTGCGTCTATGCTTTCTTCTTTAACGGTCACTTCATCCTTTATCTTACACATAATCAAATCATCCTCTCTCTCCTCCACTCTTTCCATTATGTCACTGTCAGTTTGTGAAATATGTATCACTCTCCTCTTAATTTCAAGTCCATCTACTGTCACTGAATTCCTGTTATCCGACATTGTGGTTTCTGATGCTGGATCTTTGCGATTGCTGAAAAGGAGAAAACACACTATTTAGAAATCGTTATGGAATGAGGCTGGTTTTTCACATTTTCTGCTTCATGATCTTGTTAGAAGACCTTGACTAATTGAGGCGCGTGGTGACATAGGGAGCTAAGCGCCGAAAATAAAAAACGGAGAAAAACGCGATCAAAGTTTTGCGACTTTCAGAATGTGATATCTCCGGAATGGATTAAGATAGAAAGCTCATTTATGTCTTAAATGAAAGCTTAGGATGTCTACTTTAAGTCTGCCATAACATTTAGCTTGTTATCTTAACACTTTCTGAAAGAGCAAACTATGAACTGGAAGGGTTTGTTGAAGGTCAAGACAGATGCACCTTGTGTTGGGGTCGTCGTCCTCCTGCAGCTTCTTCATGGCCTTCATTCCCTCCTTCGCGAAGCTCAGGTGGTCGTCCCAGTCAGCCTGTATACGTACAGCCTCCTCTTCTGTGCTCGCATCCTTCTTGCTGACCTCGTACCTGTCACACTTTGAACAGGTATCGGTGTTGGGGGGCTTAAAACCTAGACGATACCCACGGACAACTTTCTTGTAATAAGAGAACTTGACAGGTTCCTCGTCCTCGTTGGTGTCGAACAACCACTCCTTGTACAGGAAAAACATCTTCTTCAGCGTCATATCAGTGTCCAGGTACCGCATTAGAGGTGACTTAGCACGTGTATAGTGGCTAGAAACAGTAGGAAAACTCTTCACATGCTGCTCTACAAGGTTCTTCCTTGAAGCAGGCATGGCGTGCTTGGGCACGTGCTTGCCTCGTCGGTCCACACGAGGCGTGCCTGTGGGAGTCACAGACTCAACAGCAGTGTGTAATCTCTTGGTAGAGATACTTAACACACTACGGAATGCGGTAGCACACACAGGAATAACATTATCACCACACAAGAATGAGTAAGAACGTGTGCACGAACGCCTAGGGGGAGCATCACCACGCACTCGAACACGGCGCCTCTTCACCACACCTTTTACACAAAACTTTTGAATAAAGGCATTCTGCAAATTAAAGTCACCCAAACCCCAAAATGACTCATGAATAGCCTTAATATTATTCATTCCCATCTTT